AACCACTTATCAGGGTATTTCAAAGGTATACTTTCTGCTTGCGACGAGTACTACGTTGGATCTGGATCAACCTCAGCTGAGAATAGTCAACCAAACCATTTCATGCAGTGGCAACGCCTCCTTCTCATTTCCCTGCCGCGTAGTGACAAAGGATACGGTTCAGATTCCCCCAAGCCACGAGACAATTAATACAGAGTTGGTGAGGCAAAAGGGAAAACTGATTGGATAGGAAACCGTAGAGCCAAGTGACACGACGTGACCAACGGAAAGGGGTGCAGGTGGTGGCGGCGAGCGCATTGCTGAGGGCAGCAGCCAACCTTTAGCTAGTGGGGATATTCAATCAGGAAAAAATCTAGTCACAATTTATAAAGGGATCGGACCAATACACAGTAGATAACCTTGTGATAAAAGATGTCGAATAGATCAAGACGCGGGGGGGGGCTGCAGCATCATGGCAGCTTTGGAATGGCAATCTAAGGTAGAGAATGAGCAGTCACTTGCTCATGTTTTCAAGGCTACTGGGCTCAACCCGGTCATTTTTTTATAAATCTTTCGATTCAATATTTCTTCTGTATTTCCAGACAGTAGTTCTCTGCTTTATTTTTTAAATGGGAAATGCATAAACTTGAAAGTTGAAACTAACATCAACCCTTATCCCAAGTCGTCGTTTCGTATACATAAAACAATCTGACGAAAGGCAAGTGGACACCCTCTTGTCTTTTCACTACATTATTTGAAACGACATTAAGTCCTGTATATCACGGAGAACATAAACAGTCCGCCTTGAGCGCTTGATAGGAGGTGGATACACTGTAGATTCTACCGCGATTGTACAAGATTGGCCCAATTAAGAAGTATAAGATTTATTGCAGTCTTCACTGCACTGACTTGTTTAATTTTCGAGCTGCTTTGAGAAAAACCTTTCCCTCCCCTGCGTCACTTTCACGAGACCTAATTGAAATAATAAGGCATGTTTTCACCTTAAGAATTTGATAACAAAGAGATGCTGCAAGGAGCCACCTTTTTTATCTAAATCTCGTCTGGGAGAAAGTTGAGGATAAACTGAAGGTATTGCAGAGGAATGTTCCTGGAATGAAGTTATCAGTATTTGTATACACATTCTCCCCCTACCCCAACCCCCCTTGCGGTTTTGGGCAAGCAGGCCACTCAAGGGAACCTGGTAACAGAAGAGCCACAGGCAAAGGACTGCACTCCTTTATTCCTCATTTGGAAAAAAAATACACGTCGTCCCTTTCATAAAACACAAAGTTTCTTTGGATTGTTTTCTGTTGCTGGAAAGCTACGGTCTTATTTCAGGCGAATACAACTTTATTTGTATTTTATCTGGCAATGTTACTGCACAAAAGGACATTAACAAGAACAGATCACAAGAACAGATCCTGTACTACCCTGTATCTCAAACAATCTTGCTGTATTTTTTTTTTCATCAGCCAAAAAATCATTGCATATTGTACGGGAAGTTAAGCATAATGCTGCTTTGTATTTTGTTAATATCTTCTGATTTAAAATACTGAAAATCTGTTATCGCAATCATGATCAGACAATTCTGGCAAGGGAACCTTTCAAAAATATGAAGGTGAATACTTCTAGTTTTGAATTCAAAACTTAATGGATATGGAGGTATTACAACGGGCAGAGGTAACACAACGTGTACATTTAATGAGCAAGTGAAGCAAAATGTACATATTTATACAAAGATTTTATTTTTTTTCCAAAAAACCATCTGATTCAGTCTTACACACGTGACACGTGACCACAGAGAAAATGTGTTGAGTGATCCGAGGTCAGTCTCTGGAAACTGCAAACCACTTAAAAAACTGACCATTGCAAAATTCCTCCAGATCTCCCCCTCAATAAATGCACAGCTACTTGCGGGGAAAGGATTCACTCTCCCCACAAGGTTACTGCAATTGATCCTGGACAAGATTTTGAGATACTGAAGGGTGGCATAAACCCAATTTCGAGTGCTTGATTGTTTTTGCCGGTGTATGCTGAATTTAACCTTTTCCTTTTGGTCACTCGATTTCTTTTACAAATTTGGACATTCTTTTTGAGAATTATTTAATTATTGTATGTCAGCTACACTGTTCAAAAACGGTAGTTGATATGGTATGTGACCAATCGTAACTGGTCGATTTGTGGTAGTGGGCGGGGGGCCCTGTCATGTTACACCCAATCATACTCATTTGACTTGACCACGTGGCAGCAACGTATCAAGCTTTTCGGGGGGGGGGCAATTCAAAAAGTTCCTTGGCATACCACTCTACAAAAACAGGGTGGACGGGAGTAATGGACAACCATTGAGGAAACCTCTTTTCTGAGCACAGTAGGGAAGATCATGGGCGCATCTTCCTCAAAAGCACTACGTCCCACCTGTTGGAGGATGCGATATGGATACTATTGTGCAGACACCAAACGATCTGTGGGAGGGTTCGTTAGATGCAAATCCAAAGAACAGTACCTAGGCCTCTACCTTTTCTGAAAATGATTTGGAAACGGCCACAGACACCGCCAGATACAACGATCTGCAAGCTATCATTGCGCAAAACACTGCCATCGTTTTGTAGATTTGAATAATTGGATACATATTTTCTTAAATTTGTCCATAGCTCTTACTCCAACTGGGCCCCAAGAAACTACGCCCGGTACTTTAATGTCGAATTAAATAACTTTAGGCCTATACTGAAAATTGATTTGTTTTATTGTTCTTATTTTTTTTTTACCAAAGTACCAACTACAACCGAGAGAGTGTGCAACGAAAACCTGGACCATTACGATCCGGTGTCTTTGAGCAGAGCTACAGAGAATGGCATCTCTATCGGTCCAAACGATTTCTGGAAGCCAAGCAACCCTCCCAATGAGACTAACCCTTATTCAGGGTCCCACCTGTCGGTTACTTTTACTCCAAAAACTGAAGTAACGTCTGTCACCATCTACATGGGCAACGACAACCTCGAAGTCGTGAAGGTTGCGTTTAAAGTCAAGCCCGGTGACCGGGAGGAGCTGCTACCCTTACGGAGATCGAATGGCTACGACGTATTTGACGGAGTACCTGGACAGAGGATTGTACTTCCACCCGACACACCATACGTTGTGGAAATAGAAGTCTACATACTGAACCCCCTTCAAAATGACAGCTTCAAGGTTGTGTTCAACGGCTGTGAGCATGTTGGTAAGTTTCAATGTTTTGAAGTCAGGTATCGCAGTTGAAACAGAATGAAATAAAGAATGATTCTACGTTGTTAAAATGTCAATTAATGGTATGCAGTTGCCATGCAGTACACAGTATGGCCCTCTAAAATTAGCAAATTCTCGGCCAATCTCTGTTTTCAGGGCTATTCAATATTCCATTTATCGAGGTACATGAAAAAGGAATCATGGGATTTTTTTGTTTTCTGAAAACGAGGATTACTCATTTTGAATGACATATCGAGTAGGCCTAACTCATCTTTGGTGCACCTTTAACGGGAACACATCTCATGTATGAATCCATCCTGTGAACTGGAAAAGCTATATCAAGAAAAGGTTGGCAGATTTAATGACGGGTTGGAGGAGTAGCACTAATTAGACACACTTTGGACTTTTCGTTATTATTGACGCATTAACAACCTATTCGAATGCCCAAACGATTCAGATCTTTGTCTTTTCGATACGTTGCAAGTTGGAAACAGTTTTTTTTTTTTACTTTTTCCAGCTCTTACTCCAACTGGGCCCCCAACAACTACGCCCAGTACACAACGTTATAATGAAAAATCGAATCCACGGGGTTGTACATGAAGTGGCAATTGCTGACGTTTTGGTTAGTTGAATGTCTGAAGTTGTTATGCCTGCCGGCGTTATTAAACTATCGGTTACTTTGTATCATCTTTCTTTCTACCAAAATAGGCCTACCAACTATCACTGTCCCAACTACAACCGAGAGAGTGTGCAACGAAAACCTAGACCGTTACGAACCGGTGTCTTTGAGCAGAGCTACTGAGAATGGCATCTCTATCGGTCCAAACGATTTCTGGAAGCCAAGCAACTCTCCCAGTGAGACTAACCCTTATTCAGGGTCCCACCTGTCGGTTACTTTTACTCCAAGAACTGAAGTTACGTCTGTCACAATCTACAAGGACAACGACAACCTCGAAGTCGTGAAGGTTGCGTTTAAGGTCACGCCCAGTGACACGGATGAGCTGGTACCCTTACGGAGCTCGAATGGCTACGGCGTATTTGACGGAGTACCTGGACAGAGGATTGCTCTTCCACCCGACACACCATACGTTGTGGAAATAGAAGTCTACATACTGAACCCCCTTCAAAATGACAGCTTCAAGGTTGTGTTCAACGGCTGTGAGCATTTCGGTAAGTAAACAAGTCAACCTGCTGTTGGTTGTAGAAAATAGTGTCGTGACCATTGAAGACCTTTGACAAGACCAGACACAAGACTGTGCACAAGACCATTCACAAGACCAGTCACAAGTAACAGGGTGAACAACGACAATGGAATGCTTTTGTTGGGGTTCATTTGAATAGCTTTTGGCTTGAATTCAGGCAGGAGGTCTTGTGTTGGTCCCATATGATGCAAGATATGGGACGGAGAGAACGCCCCCCCGCCTTTGTGTTGGTCATTGTTTGATCGGAATCTCAGGAATTCTTTACAGACTTCTAGTCTAGAGTGTGTATCGGGATTGGACGTGTTGGGGGGTACCCATCGGCCCCATATCGTGCACGGTATCTGAAATAAGGAGCAGTAATAGGAATTGGCCGATTCTAGTCCCTTTTTTTCTCCCTTGGGTACCCACCCGACCCCTAAAATTGAAAAAAAAATCATCTGTTCCAAACCTGAAACGGAGGAGCCACTTGCTACGCTCGCTACATCTCGTTCTCCTAAAACTTAAAATATATTATCAAAACGTTTTTAAAACTCGCCAAACCAAAAAACAACCATGTCAAACCAAACTTATATTATAACCGACAATCAAGAACGGCAATAAACGCTGACAATCTAGACCTAAACGTTGTATACTGTCCTTTTGATCCAGACAGACTAGTGATAGCAGAAGCCATCTTGAAAAGAGCAACAAACATACGCAGTGTTATTCACCCATTTTTATTACCACGATAATAAAGAAAAGCGTCAGTTGATTATGATGCCAAAAAGATCAGTTACAAAGTAGATCTACTGTACAAATTTAACGTCAAGAAAAAAGAAGCAATAAACCTAGTCAGATATCAAACCTGTTCTTAACTTCAAGAGCCCATGGTGGAAATACTCGACGATATAAACTTGGCAGCTTACAATTACATCGGCACGCACGCAAACAAAAAGTCTGTCATTCCACAAAATAGGATTAACGCTTATAAAGCCAGTCGCGATTTAGACGATCTAGAAAAGAAAGAATTTGTAGTCAAAGGACCACACCCAGACCAAAAAAAACCAACGCATGTATGTTAAGTTGTAAACCATGACCTCGTTGTTTAACCAACATAAAAATCTAATATTGCAAGACCAACTCCGCAAAAATAATGATAAACGTTGTCACGCTGCCTCGTTGATCTATATCCAAGACGTATATTACGGTACACATGGATCTTTGTCTTGTGACGACAGCGTTATAAAGTCGACAAAGCGTTGTTAAAAATGGCCTACGGTACAAGATTCGTTTCAGACAAAACGGCGTTGCAAGTGTTAGGAGGATCTGACAACGATAACAACGACTCAGACTCAGATTAAACTAAAAACAAACTTTAAATAAATACATTATATTGAAATCATAGCTTTATAGATCTCAATGTGAATGCTTTAAGTTTAGTCTATTATTGAACCATCGTTTCATTGCGAAAAGGTGGTTATTGCTATAAAAAGATTAACTTACTATAAAACAATGTTTCTCCCACCGCATTTAGAAGAGTGTATACTTTGATCATTGAAAAACCTCCGGCAACAGCATATGTGAAAATAAAAGAAGACACTTGTAAGCACACAAATAAAAGAAGAGAAAACTTATTTATTAACTGTCTCGATTGCTATAAAAGATTACAGCCTTATACAGACGTTGAAGCCTAAGTCTAAAGCAAACAAAGTCCTAAAAAAACTGAAAATACAATTTACAAAAGACTAAGTAGGACTCAAAGACTATAAGTTAAACCAAGTTTTACAAGGTAAGACCTCTAGGGGACAAATACCCAGGTCGCTTGTTGCAGTGTGCTTTCATATCGTGGTTACAAACGAAACGCCTAACGAAGTCAGAAGAAAATTTTCAGAAAAACACTGGAGCGATGCCGTCCACAAAGTTAGTCTATTATATAACAAAGGATGTCAAATCAGATAGAAACGTACGCTTTTTATTAGTTTGAAAACCCGCACAATTAAATTGAAGCACATTACTGATAACTCAAAAGGCGACAAAGCCGTTTTCAAAAACATACTCTTTGAAGCTGGTTACAACTTAGACCCAGATAGACTTGTGTTGAGTCATTGTATTCAGTTTAACACCTACGTTAACTTTTATAACGGGCAGTCTTTAGACATCTTACAAGCAGTGTGGACCAATCAACAATTCCGCAGTGAATTTGAATCAGCTGAAAAGTTAAAAAGCTGATACATAAATGAGTTGACCTTTTTCGTACTAGGAGAACTCTTGCAAAATCAAAACACTAGAATGATCATTGAACTGAGCATTTTGACATTTGAAATATGAAACATATACATTAAAAGGACATGACAACGAACCTTTATCCTACTCTAAAGAGTGGTGACCCTTACAAAAGCGAACCGGTAGAAACCAAAGTCTACAGACTCCAAAAGATTGAAGACATCAAAGCTCGGGTTTTACAAGAACGTAACCATGAGAGGCCTCTTACAAAAAGCTAAAGAGGGGGATATGCGCGATACAATTTGTGGAACACAAGGTCGAACTACTGAAAGCAGTGACAGCAGCAGTGGGCATCTCCGCAATCATGGGAGTTATAAGCGTTCCTACTGGCCTCGCGTTGGAAGGAAGCAGTATAGGTGCGTTTACTTTTTATGCCCTACTTAATTATGCATCTAAACGTTTAACGGCAAAAACTAAAAAAACACGACCAAATCAGAGTAATGGCAGACGCCAAGTTAAACACTATCGAAGAATATGTATCTCTTGCAATCAAATATGGTGACGTATCTCACGAAAATTGTGTACTAATTATGTCAGAACTCAAACAGTTGAATGAACGTTAAGTGTTAAGAGTTAAGCTCCAGTGGCCTCTCCAAAAGAGGCCACTTCCTCTTCGCAGGGTTTTAATCACCGTTTGTAGTTTGTAGAACCTATTTCTTGCAAACCAGAAAAAGCTCTTGCTTTGATGTATTTTTTGGTGAGAACTGAAGAAGTGGACTAAATCGTTTTTGAAGATATGAGGTCGTATTTCCCAGTTTCTAAGGTTTCCTTGGAATCGTTTGATCTGTCGAACGTCTACTTCTTCAAACGTTTCTGGTCGTGCATAAGCTTTGATCGCTTTGATCAAGTCTTTTTTTTTGAGCTTGCGACCTTGTTTACCATCAGCGATCGGTCGTGATTGGTTATGTTGTACCACTTGGAGCAATTGTTGATTAGTTTTGTGATCCAGATATTTAAATTGTTTTAGGTTCTCTGTGATCGCTAGTATTAAGTCTTTGCGTGTGTAGCGCCTGAGTCTCTGCGACTCTGGTAGAGGAACGTTGTAGATTCGATGTTTTAAACTAAAACTGATGTTTCTTTCCATTGGTGATACTTGGGGACGGCAGGTCTCTAAACCAGTCTGGCATTTTGATTCGGTGACATTTCGCTTGTTTGGTAAGCGCTTGATAATATTTGTAAAAACATGTTTAAAATTCTCTTCAATTTTATTATTTTATTATTAAACCTGTTGAATTAAATGTAAATAGTGTGCCATGACTTGAAGTTTGGTTCGTTATTTACATAGTGTCTACACTCTTTTAAACCAGAACAGTTAAAACAATTAAAGCAGTTACTACAATCAAAACATTCCTTACAGTGTATACAGTTGGCACAGTTTTGACAAAATTTTACATTCGTTGCATTCGAGACAATCTTTACAGTCAATACATAATACTAAGCGTTTGCCACATGTACAGTATTTACCAAAAAGTTACTGCCAGAATCGGTACTATTTTTGCAGTTACCGCACTTTATACAAAAATTGGAATTTTTGCAGCCGTTGCAGTCTATACAGCTTTGCTTTGTTTGGTTTGTTTGACTTGTTGCTTCTGTTTTGACTTGTGTTTTACCCGTTTCCGGTGAGGCATCTTGCTTTTTTGGTTTGGCGAGTTTAATTTTTTTTTTATTATATTTCAATTTTTAGGAGAACGAATTGTAGCAGGTGACTCCTCCCTCTCAGGTTTGGAACAGAGGAGGTTTTTTTTTTTTCAATCTTAGGGGTCGAGTAGGTACCCAAGGGGAAAAATTGGACTAGAATCGGCAAATTTTTACTACTGGAGCAATGTCTGCTTGAATTGTAAGAACTTGAATAATATGAAGCTGTTCCTGTCCATAGAAAGGAACAATAATTTCAGGTTTAATGAATATGTTTAGTGTATCAAGAGTTACGGAAAGTTGAAAGGATGTTTCTGAATAAGATTACTGTCAAAAGGAGTCTCTACTAATTTATATTAATTTTCATTAATCCTGTTACTCAAAAGCGCCCACAACAACTAAAGCTCTTACGACTACTCAAAGTATAGTATACCTCAGAGTAAGCCAAACTACAGTACCCTGGAATAATTTGACATTCTGGAAGAGATACGTAGCAACATCGTTTTGATGAGGACGTTAATTGAGGAATCAGGCACTCGGCATCCCTTCTGAAAGGATTTATTTCCTACCGGTATTTAACCCGACCTCCACTGATGTTTGGATATGTATAAACCGATTCAGTTTAGTAACAGCCGTTGAATACGGGTGATTCACAAGAGCGCGACTCCAAGTGTTTTTAACGCGTTGACCAATCACAATACGCGAAATCTATCGACCCTTTCTAAACGACCATTCGGTCGACAGATTTCGCATATTGTGATTAGCCAACGCGTTGCCAACTAGTGGAAAGCGCTATTGTGAATCACCCGAATCGCAAGAGGGTCATGCACCCTCCCCCTTCCAATCGTGTGTATAAAGACCTCAAAACAGCCTGTCTACTCATAAAGACCACAAAAGGGTACAATTGGCCCATGTAATTCCCATTCATTTGCTCCATTCCCAGAAAAAAAATCGCCCGCCCCCCAAATGCCCCTGATCCACCATTGAAATCATAGTACTGTTTTCGAACTAAGGTCTGATGAATGCAGAACGAAATTACTGACAATCCTGTATGGGACAGTGTCAATTCTCATCATGTGCACTAAATAAACTTCTTCCTGGGAAACATTCAAGTCAGTTGGACAACTTACGGTGAACAACTCACTTGTTAAAAATATGGGAAATAAAATGGGCACTCGTGATATGAAAGGGCACTTTCTTACAAAAGTATTAAAGGAGCAATTCCCTTACTCCCTCCTGCGAGCTACGCTGATACTAAAGCGACTGCCAGCTAAGTATATTATTCGATGAACAGGTTCCGTAGGACACTTTTCCTATAACGCCAATCGTATCACAGTTCTAAATTCTTTTTTTCAGAAGAGGTCACGACCACACCTGAAGCAACAACTGAAACATCAACAACTTCGCCAATAACCACCGGACCACCTACCACAACACCTAGGCTAACCACCATTCCAACTACAAAGTCAACCGAAGCAACAACTTCCTGTAATTATCTGTTTGTTATTTTATGTTGAGGAAACCAAACCAATCTTTATTTTCACATTTCTTCAATTATGCCAAAACATCTTTTTTGTGATATAAAACAATCCAGGAATTCACTGCAGAGCGTCACAAAGAAAATTCAACTGAAAACCACCAATATCAACTTAAGTTATTCTACCTTCAGAACCTTAGCATTTAGGGAGTGAGAGCACATCCACGCATTAACGTGAGACCAGAATTCTTTGTTACACTCTTTAACATATTGCCTGTGCACATAGTTCATGCGTTTCAGTTTATGAATTACTGACGATTTTATTTGTTATCCGAGTGAAACAATTTCCCCTGCTGATTCAAGCTTCCACTTCGGACCATGTCATGGTGAACATTTCTGTCTTTGACAGACACTTGCGACGTTTGTGTTTGTCGACAAGACTGTTTCGGTACATTCTATGACCCGGTCTGCCCCGTCAGTGTTCCTGCCTACTGCATGGATTGTACATGTCCGCCGGGCACTGAGAAGAGCCAGAGTGGGGTGTACTGCGAACATCGTGATACATGTCAACCAACTACAGGTAGATAAGCTTTGAGAAATTGTTTTAAATACTAATACCCCAAATATAGCCGACCACTCATGAAGGCCATAAATGGTTACAACATGCCTATGTAAATTTCATTCTTTTACTCCATCTCTCCCCCAAGAGTACGCCCCAGCTAAAAATGTCCTTGGTCCACCCTTGAAACGACCGCACTCTTTTTCGAATTATGTTGTTTTTACAGCAGAATGAAATTACTGACTTTTCTGTACGGGAAGATGTCATTTCTGAACATTTGTGCACCAAATAAACCTCTTCCTAGGAAACATCCGAGTCAGATGGTCAAATTGTGGACAAAAATGGCACATATTTCGAGATAATGGGAGATATAATGGAAAAAAGCACCTTGTTACAAAAAATTAAGGAGAAATTCCCATGCAGTCAACCTCCTGCGAGCTAAGCTGCATACTAAAGCGACTCTAGGAACAGTAACATATTCGATAAACACGTTAGTTAGGACAGATTTCGTATAGCACCATACGTATCCTATTTCCAAATTGTTTTCTTAGAGGCCACGACTACAGCTGAACCAACAACTGAAACATCAACACCTTCGCCAATAACCTCCGGACCACCTACCACAACACCTAGGCTAACCACCATTCCAACTACAAAGTCAACCGAAGCAACAACTTCCTGTAATTATCTATTTGCTATTTTATGTTGAGGAAACCAAACCAGATGTTCTCTAGGAATTTCACTATTACAACCAAAAGTCTTATATTGCGATGAAAAAAAATTAAATGTCGACTTAAGTTATTCTGTTTGAGAACTTTACTGTTTAGCGAGCGAGAGCACTTCCACATATTGACGTGAGACCAGAATTCTTTGTTACATTTTTTAAACATTCCTTGATTAGACTGTGTCGACATGTCGCATTTAGAGTGAACGGGAATTTATGTTCAACTCATTTTCCAATTTGAAAAGACTCCAACCTGAAGAGCTACTTACATCCTCGTTTTATCTACGGAACATCCTCATGAATCCTTTGTGTTCACCGCATATGAAAATGGTTTCCATCGGCCACATATTACCATATGTGGTCTTTTTTCCCATGATTGTCATGGCTGTACAAACCTTGAAATAATAACAGTGTAATAATCTGATTCCTTCACAGCACTAACAACCGGAGTCTCAACAACAGGTACGTTATGCTTTAGTTTGTGACAATCATTTTATCTACAGGGGAGCGTTAGTCCGAAGAACAAACGGCGGGTAATAGCGCGGAAGATGCAACTGGGATGGAAATAATGAAGAATATTACTGCTGAGAGTTTTTTAACGTTGGGGTAATAGAGCAGTGTTCGAGTTCTCCTAATTAATTTAATAAGAGTGTCAATTTCCCTGCAGCACCGGTGTTTTGGATTTCTCGAGCACTGCTCTTCAAACGTTGATAAATGTTGTTTTTGAACAGGTGCATGTCAGCCTGCAGTGGTAGTACCGCGGGGCGCATGGCCGGTCGGGGGCCGTGGGAGCGGCTCAACATGCATGCTGTATGCTGTGGCTGCAAGTGTGCCTTGACTGACAAGCTTATTACTCCAACATAATTTCCTGACATTTTGCAAGTGCTACTGTTCTTCTGAACTTCCAGTTGAATTAAACATGTAGGTCGCGAACCATCTCAAACCAGAATTGCCCAGACGTCCTGTACGTATATCGTCCGCTTTCCACAGCGCCACCAATTTAAGAGATGGTGCCTTGCGTCGCAGCCCCTCGATTATGTACCTCTTACACCCAAACAATCAGTTGAATTTCTGCAAACAATTAACAAAGAAAAACTTTTTTCGAGCAAGAAAGTGTATTAAATGGCATGTGGTGGAAATAAAAAGGTTCCAACTAGTCCAAACTAAGCACGGAATTGTATTCTAAAGAATCGATAGGACTACCTATGTGAGTTTGAATACGGCCGGTTTTAACCAATATCCACTACAGCCCCCCTCCAAGAATTTTCTGTTAGATTGTTGTATCATGTCTTTTATTGGGACTTCAATCCGCTTCATCTGTATGGCTATAGCCATCTTCAATCGTGCAAAATGTACGTCCCAAGCCCAGGAACTGTCCTTACACTTCTTTTCCTGAAGGCAACGAAAAAATACCACCCCACCCCCGTTTATACGTATTTGAAAACAAATATTATTCGAGTTCTGTTCAGGTTTGGTTTTTAGCGCAGCTACTGTGGTATCGCCGTGATATTGCAACACTCATTTGAATGAAGTTCGGCAAGGCAGTGCCACAGCGTCCAGTCTTGGCCTAAGTAGACGTGCACTTGACCCCCGTGCAGACAGAATTTCAACAAGACAAGATGTATTTGCTGAGGCGAATGTGGTACGTGGCAAACTTTCCAGATGATTGGCAACCGTGGAGTACTATGTTGAGCTTGGAGTCCCTTCAGATATCTTCGAAAAAGAAGATACACCTTGACCCTTTTGGCACTTCTTGTACGGCGTTAATTATTGCTTGATTCTGAAAGTGGTAAAAACATTTGAATGTTCTGTAGATCACAAAGGAATGGCCGATGATGAATGATTCAGCTGTTCTTGACTTACTGTCTCAGTGTTGTGGGGTTGGATCTGGGCCTACACCAACTTAAGTATGAAGGTTTCAAGGGTAAAGTGCAAGGCTGGAGGAAGAAAAAGACAACCAAACAGGAGCAGAAAAAGCAAGCATTGGTGGCACTGGCGAGACACTTAGTAAAAGAGGTTCACCCAGGAGTGGTATCCCGGTATCAGGGCAGTGACTTCTCTCAAGAGGCAGTGCGACTGTTGGAGGTACAACAAGTGGAGCAACCAACATACTTCAACCAGTCAAGGGAGTGACAAAGCTACAGCTGTCTCCAGTGATATCAGCAGTGAAATCTGTAGTGGTTTGTTCAAGGAGGGTTGTCAGGATAGACGGCTGATGGAGAAGAGAGGACACTGCAACGTGGATGGGTGGGCTATCTGGGAGCACAAGCCCGAAGATCGTCGATATTCACTCCACTGAGTACCCCACTCCACTGAGTACCCCTCCTCCCATGAACAGCATACAGATACCAGGGGGCAATAGTAAAGCAACAACTCAGGCTACGAGGAGCCGCAGGAGTAAGAAAGCATTTCACAAGAGGTGTGGATGTTGGACGTTCTGCATTACCAGTAATCTTTACCGTCAGTTGGGGCTTTCAAACACAGCCACCAAGGTGCCACCTAGTGTGCCACTTGTTTCCAGCACCCTAACGACAGGAATGCAGACATCCCCGGGCAATGCGGTAGCATCTTGGCAGTCTGCAGTGGGAGCAATGATCAACATAGCTTCAACTCAAGTAGACATTATGAGGTAGCCCTACGCACAGAAAACAACGAGAATTGTAGGTGAGCCAAGTGGATATCAAGTGCCAGGCACGTGAAGTCCACTGTTTGGATAGGC